CAGGGCAGATGGATGATTATATAGAAACAATTAAAGAATTGGCCACACCTACCATATTTTTAGTTTTACATTTTAAGCCAATATAACTGCAAAACTGCACACATAATTGAAGCTAAATATTAAAACCAATTAAAATGCTTTATTCTTTATTTGTTATAGATTGAAGCTCTTCACAGTCGACTCTTGTGAATTGTCAACAGCTTTTGTGGTTCATGCAGGGATGTTCTTTTTTTTAATTGGTATGTATGCATTCTTCACATATTGTAATATTCACATATTTACACTAACGTATATATATCAATTTTGAATTTAAAACAATATAATAGTTACAAAACGAATGAAATAAAAAATTCATTCAACAAAATGAAATAACAAATCAGTTCTTTGAAAACTTTAAAAGAATATTTGATCCTAAATCTAAAAAACCTTTAGTATATTTTAGTAAGTGTACTTTTTTCTTGCTTTTATTCTCTCCATAATTAAAAAATATATATTTGTACAGCAATGTTCTGTTGTCAGTAATATTTTTATAAACTTTAATAGGTAGAACTGTGAACAAAAGCAAGGGATGCCTCAAGGTTTGATTGAAGAAACATCTTGAATGTTTATAAAAATCTTTATAATCATTAAAATAATTTATTAAAATAATTAGATTAATATTAGTGATATGACGTAGTTCCGGAAACTTCCTACTTCTATGTTAATCTGTCTAATTTTACGATTAGTTTCTTTTGACTGCCCCCTAGTGTTGGACGATATACAAAATTTTCAGATCGCCAAATCGTCCCCCTGTGAGATCTCCGATATCGGGGTGCAATAGTGTAATGTGTACTTATTTGTTTCACAGAAATAGTTTCGTTTTAGACATAGAATATTTTTTGACTGTAGGCCTACAGATGAAACTTTTCACTGAGCTCAGTAAAATGTTCTTTAATTAGTTAATAATAATCAGTTCAATAAATCGTTAAAGCCAAAACGAATGGTAAAATGCAGGTTGAAATGTAATTTAATGTATATAGGCTAGTTTAAACAAATAAAATATACATTTAGGGTCTGTAAATAAATATAGGCCTAACATTTTTTAACTAAATAAACAGGTTATTTTTTTAAACAAATGCGCATGTCTGTGTTTATCATTTCATCGAGTTAAACATAAATAAGACACAAATATTCTGAGTATTTAAAGAAGCAGACAATGCATGCACTGAAAAAATAGGCTATAGGCCACCTTAACACTTAAATAGGCTTTTGATAACGGATATAAATAAAAGATAAATAGTTTTTTTTTTGTGAAAACAAGAGAGAATCTTGCAGGAGTGCTGTCTCAAATGACCAATGATCATATATTACCGCAAAACATTTTATTCCAGAAGATTTATGCTGGTTTCAGCTTAGTTCATTCATTTTCTTTTTCGTTTGTTTCATTTTTTACAAAAAGTTTCTGTCAAAGTTGCAAATTAATTTGCTGTGAGATGTGGCTGTGTCCTCAAGTGCAGTGCTCGATTCAACTGCTGCTGAGAAAGAGAGAGAGTTGGTCAAGTGATGTTGATGCACACACCTGAAGCTGTCAAATTATTTGTGGTTCATTTATAATTAATGATGAAGATTAAAAATAATAATACTTTTTATTTTATTCAGAAATGTAAGTAAAACATGAAATGGGTTTACTTCGATGCGAAACGAGCTAAATATCGTCTTTAAAATCACAAGTCTCAGCTATCTGTGATATCTTTGCCTATCGTTGATACATAATACTATCGTCTATCGGCACAACCCTACTGCCCCCTGTCGTTTAAAAAAAAATAATTTCATTGGTGAACCCGTCACGTATAAAAGCCTCATCCGTTTCGTGAGGTTAGCGCACGTCAGTGGAGGTTTGCAACGAGGCTCCAGACGAAAGTATAAATCAGCCTTGACACACCCAGTTTAATGAATCTCGCGAGTACACCACGAGTCTCGTAACAAGAAGTAACCGATCAGCTTTATACTTTGTAATATAATATATTTTAAAGACTGTCAATTTAGAACACTGCACGTTTTAACAATTGACTATGGTTTATACTATTTTTGTGTGTCTAGGTGTTGTGACATGTTTATTATGTATTATGTTTCATTTATTATTATAATCATTTTTATTATATATAAATATATTTATATTTTTTACTTTGTCTAATGCTGTGTGTCTTGACCAGGACTCCCTGGTTGAAGAGATTTTGTATTTCATTGGGACATTCCTGGTTAAACAATTAAATTAATAAATAAAAATATATACTCATACTCATTTCGGTAGACTAATTATCTCAGACAAACACAGAACACCCAAACACTGCAGTGCTTTGTAATTGTCTCCATGAATAAAATTTGTGTGACACTAGTATAAAAATCTAGAATAACACAATAACATCAACAAAAACTGTAAAAAATGTTTACCACAGTCACCCAAAATACAAAAAAAGAAATGAAACAAATGTACATATATTGACAAACTGATGATCCGTGGCCCATCTTTGCTCCTAAAGGACTAGGCCTGTCTTGGATGCTGCTTTTTTTTTTACCAAATCTTAATTACATTCACCTGTTGACATCACCTGTTTCAAATCACATAATTTAATTAATTTGCCTAGTTAATAGCCCTAAACTGCTCCTGTCTCACCTTTTTTATGTGTTGCATGAACCAAATCTAAAATATGTGTTTATTTAAAAAAACAAAAATCAAAAGAAGCACATTAAATAATGTGCTGTTGTATTGTCTGCAAAAAAAAAAAAAAACAAACAAAATAAAAAAAACTTCAAAGTACATTTAGAAATCACTTCTTTCTTTTTTTAATTGTGTTTTTTATAATGTCCTAACTTTTTCTGGGTTAAGGTTGTAATATATATTTGCTATATTTGATAAAATGATAAATTCAGTCAAGTGTGTACAAATGTTTCACTGATAATTAATAAATTATGACATTTTTTTTTATCAGAAATCAGGTCTAAGAGGAAGTTTTTAAATGTAATACAGCCTAATTTTTATTCTCTCTTATATTTTTACCAAGATTTACAGAAAACATTTAATTCAGTGTAACAGACGTTTATAGACGAGAAAATAGTTTAATGCATATTTATTTATTTTCTTTTCATCTTAGTCCCTTTATTAATATGGGGTCGCCACAGCCGAATGAACCGACAACTTATCCAGCATATGTTTTACTCAGGGGATACCCCTCCAGCTGCAACCCATCTCTGGGAAACACCCATAAACTCCCATTCACATACATACACTATGGACAATTTAGCCTACCCAATTCACCTGTACCGAATGTCTTTGGACTGGGGGAAACCGAGCACAAGGAGGAAACCCATGTAAACACGGGGAGAACATGCATACCAACTGACCCAGCCAAAGCTTGAACCAGCGACCTTCTTGCTGTTAGGCGACAGCACTACCCACTGTGCGACCATGCCGCCTGGTTCATGCATATTTATAACAAAAATGATTTGACATTTAAAGACTCTATTCAAAGAATAAATTGCATCCCCGAAAAACTAATTACTTCATACCTTGCCACTAGCCATCAAAACACAAGCTTTTACCCATTTGTCATCAAGGTCTTAATCATTTCAAATCACTTTTATAATTATTCTTCTTCATATTTGATAATTAAACATTATTTTTCCTCAATGTTATAGTAGACAATTTACTTGCATTCATAATATAGTTTCAATCACCAAATGATGGGATGGGATGGGACGGGACGTCTCATCTTTGACACAGAGAAATTGTTATTGTCTATTATTATTATTATTATATTATAAATTATATAAATTATTAATGTAAACCTCTTACGCATCTCAACTGCAATACTTACAGTTTTTTGTCTTATTTCAAGTACAAAAATATCTAAAACATTTTTTAATCGAGAAGCATTTTTATCGACAAACAAAATATGTGGTTTTATATTTTTAGGAATAATAAGTTAAAATTTAGTGTGTTTCCTCTAAAACAAGCGAAATAATCTGCTATTAGGGTAAGTAAAATGATCTTTTTTTCAGTTTGGAATAAGATTATTTTACTTACCCCGTCGGCAGATTTAGCTTGTTTAAGGGGAAAACTCACTTAATTTTATCTGATCATTCCTAAAAAAAATAAAATAATTTTTGAACTTGTCTATAAAAATGCTTCTTAATAGATAAAATAAAATTGTAATAGGATCATTTTACTTAGCCCAATAACAGATTATTTTGATTGTTTTTTTAATCATTATTTTTTAGGGGTTTTCGCCTTTATTGATAAGACAGTGGAGATTTACAGACAGGAACGTGTTGGGAGCAGTGGTAGGGAAAGGATCGGCAAAGGACCTTGAGTCGGGAATTGAACTTGGGTCGCTGCGAGCACCTGGGTGCGGCTATTGGCGCCGACTATTTTGTTTGTTTTAAGGAAAACTCACTAAATTTTCACTCAATTTCTGCAAACAAAACAGTCTTTCACTTGTCTACAAATGCTTTTTGATTTAAGATTAAAAAATATGTATATATTGACTAGAAACAAGACAAACTCTTAAGAAGCAAAACCATTTTTTACAGTGTCCCAGACAGAGCTTTTAAAGATTTTGATGACTTCTTCAACAGTTTTCCTTACAGCCCAGTTCCAAAAGTGGGATGGCATCCCATTGTGCTCGCAAGCAATTGAGGAAACTGAAACAAGAATGAATTTCTGCTGCTGCTCCTACTGCTGACAGAGGTGTAGCAGCATAAAAGGATCTGTTGAAAGAGTAGAGGATGCGATGTGCCTGAATGCAGTAAAGTCGCAATAAAGGGCACAAGTAGATTGTGTGATCTAGTATTGTCAGGTTGTGTGAAACCTGAGCTTTCGCCTCGTTCTCTATGACCCGTTGTAGAGCAGGATGCATTTGCAAGAGATATTAAGCTTTAAATGGATGTGTATAAGTGTAGAGAGAGAGAAAGAGGGTGGGGAGGTCGAGCAAGCAAATAAGAGAGATTGAGAGAAAGGGAGAGAGAGGGAAGCAGCGCACGAATGCAACAGAGCAGCGGAGGAGAGGAAATAGAGAGAGAAGGAGGACTAGGCGTTACGCTCGCTCCTTCACAAGCTGCCTGCGAGATGCCAGGACTGCTGCAGAGAGATTGCCGTTTCTTTCCTTTTTCTTTCTTTCATCAGCTTTGTGTTGCGGTGAACTCTTCATCCTCTCGTCTGTCTCGGAGGTAACAAGTCTCTGCAAGACAAATCATTACTTATTGTCTCCGCTGGCAACTTGCTTGACTTTTATTTTTTTTTTTTTATCTTCTGTTATTTACAGCTCTCATCGATTTCAGGAGTCACTTTACTGACGTGCATGTTAGGAAATCCAGAAGCACTTGTGTTAGCTTTGTGAGTCTGTGTGAAGCTGCATTGATGCTGAAGTGAAAACCCCCAGAATTTACTGTTGTACGTGCATGTTCTTGCGCATGGTGCAGGAGGTGTAGAGTAATGCGTTATTGATTTTTGATTGTGAGGAGCATGTTGTGTGCATTATGTTGGGACTGGGCTGGGTCACCTGTTCTCTGCGTGGACCCTTGAGGGGAACAGCCGCCGAGCGGGTATGTGATAGTGCCCTAAAAAGTTTCTGGAGGTTTTAAATAGTATTACGCTGAAGCATTTAGATGCAACAGGACGTTAAAAGTGGGAAACACATTTATGGAATTGCATTTCTATTTCATTCATTAATGAAGGTGTTTTTAAAGAACGTTATTTACATAAATGTGCATGTGTGTCTATTTAAATATGTTTTCATGATGGCATCTCTTTTTTCCATGCAGTGCAAAGCATGAATGACTTTAGCGTGACAGATCTCATAAACAGACTGTGAAGCTTGTTTATTTAAACAGTCTCTGACCTAAAGCTAGCTGGTGAAAGTAGCTACGGTGTCCCATGTTGCTTTCAGACGTCATCTAAGGTTTTGTTGTGTGCTTTTATGACAGGTGCATGAAGAAACGGCCCTACATGGAGTCCAGGTGCCTTTGGTTGTGAGATCTGAATGTCTTCTGTGCCTCTTGTGAAGACTGAAGAAAGGAAAGGAAATAAATAAATAAATGCAATTCTTTAAAAAGGAGCGAGAATGCCTACAAATGGGTTGCAGTAGTGGAGATATAGTCTCTCGCTAACTTTGGAAAGCTTCATCACAAACTAAGAAAAATTTGAAACGGCACAGCGCAGCAACAAATCAGTATTCTCCTACAGACCCCTGAAAGAAATGGCCAAGTGGGTTAACCCTTTATCTGGCTGAGTTGACTCTTTAGGCAGCCACAATCTCCAAACAAAACAGGGTAATTTTGGAATGTTTTTTGATATATGGAGATCCTAAGATGGAAATTTGACGGCCTTCAATTTTGGTAGCAGATAATAAAAACCTACACTTTCTAGTGTATCGCAAGCCGAAGTATACATAACTAACAAATCTGAGATGCTCAGCTCGGATGATTAGCTCGAAAAGACTCCGAAAATCTTCTCAGGTCTGACTGGCGTTTTCCTGCTTTAATTCGTTGACAACGTTTCGTTAAAGATGGCTGCCGGAGTGGCAACATGGCTACCGTTTGCCAGGGCAGCAGCCGTTGGCTGGCTTCCCCTGGCCAAGAAAACCATGCCCAAACCACCAATAGACAAAAAAAATCGCAACGATGAGATCCTGTTTGTAAATGTGAGCGGACTCCGCTTCCAGACATGGAAAAACACGCTAGACCGATATCCCGACACTCTGCTGGGCAGCTCGGAAAAGGAGTTTTTCTACAACGAGGACACTCAGGAGTATTTCTTCGACCGGGATCCAGAGATGTTTCGCCACATTTTGAACTTCTACCGAACAGGCCGGCTTCACTACCCCCGGCAGGAGTGCATTCAGGCCTTCGACGAGGAGTTGGCGTTCTACGGCATCGTGCCGGATATTATCGGAGACTGCTGCATGGAAGAGTACAGGGACCGCAAGAAAGAAAACCAGGAGCGTTTGGCAGTAGACACGGAGGCGGAGATGGCGACAGACACCCCTCTGCCGCCACACAGCACGCATCGGGAACGCTTGTGGCGTGCGTTCGAGAATCCCCACACTAGCACCATGGCACTGGTTTTCTACTACGTCACCGGTTTCTTCATCGCCGTCTCAGTCATAGCAAACGTAGTAGAGACCGTCCCATGCCGACCGCTCAAAGGCAGCAAGAAAGACTTGCCATGCGGAGAGAAGTACTCGCTGGCGTTTTTCTGCATGGACACGGCCTGTGTGCTCATCTTCACCTTCGAGTACCTCATGAGGCTTTTCGCCGCCCCTAGCCGCTGCAAGTTCATGCGTTCAGTCATGAGCGTGATTGATGTGGTCGCCATCATGCCCTACTACATCGGCCTTGTCATGCCAGAGAACGAGGACGTGAGTGGTGCGTTCGTCACACTAAGGGTGTTCAGAGTCTTCCGGATCTTCAAGTTCTCCCGTCACTCTCAGGGCCTGCGGATCCTGGGTTATACCCTGAAGAGCTGTGCGTCTGAGCTGGGCTTCCTGCTGTTTTCCCTCACCATGGCTATCATCATATTTGCCACCGTCATGTTCTACGCTGAGAAAGGCACCAAGGGAACCAACTTCACCAGCATCCCAGCCTCCTTCTGGTACACCATAGTCACCATGACAACGCTTGGGTGAGTCCATTCTGCTTTTTGTGTGTGTTATCTGCAGCTTGTGATGTTTCCAATTGGTGTTTTATACACACAGAGAGGGTTTCTGTGTTTGTCTGGATTGCAGTGAAGCGGGTTCCATGTAGATGAGATCCATTAAGAAGTTTATGGAAAATTCCCAAGCGATCCAAACCACTTACTGCTTCATTGCTCATTTATGATGCTGACAGTGTTCTTATATAGAAGTTCTACCAAAAGTTTTGTGGTGATGGTTTTGTCTTTATAGCTGTTGTGTAAATAGCCTTACAGGTTTCTTTTAAATTTTCTCTCTCTGATGCATCTAATTGGTTGTCAGCGTTCATGTTTGGTATTGCAGAATATTTTTTATTATTTTGCTGTCTCTATATATAGCTTTCAGTTTCTATAAATATTTTATTATTATTATTATTATTATTAAACATAATAAACAAACTTTTTGTCTCCCCATTCCAGTAATACAGTTGCTTGTTTATGTTAAAAACACACATTTTCCCAAGTGATCCAAACCACTTACTGTTTCATTGCTCATTTGTTATGCTGACAGTGTTCCCATATACTGCAGAAGTTACTATAAAACTTGGTCTGCATATCTTTTGTGTATATATATATATATATTTATGTTAGTGCTGAACAAAGATTAATCGTGATTAACCACATCCAAAATAAAAGTTTGTTTCGACCTAAGATATTTATGTATATTCTATATATAAATCTAAAACACACATATAATAAAATAATAATAAAATAATAATTATAAAAGCGAACAAACAAAATAATATATATAAACGTTTTCTCAAATAGATGCATGCATGTGTGTACTAATATATACATAATAAATATACAATAAATATTACATATTTATTTTGTACGTGATTATTTTTTGCCCAGCTCTATTATATATATATATATATATATATATATATATATATATATATATATATATATATATATATATATATATATATATATGATACTACATTTAGTTCAATGGCATAGTCGTTAGTATAAAAAAGAAAATCAAACACAGAGTCTCACAAACCTTTCTGTAGAAGGAACTACTTTATTCGACTACTCATTCACGTCTGCAGCTGACGATCAGAACAGCAGAAACTGTTGCTACTACTTCAACGTCACTTTAGAGCTAGTATTTGATGATTTTCTAAAGTGATGACAAAACAGGTAATTTTTGCTCACATTTTAAGATTATTAGGTTGAACGGCATGAACTGCCACTAGTCTATAGAGACTTCCTCGTATTTCTCTGTTGCAATTGGGATTTTACAACAATTAACCTGGAAAAAGCCGGAACAAAGCAAACACTACCAGTTTCTGTGGTATAAATACAGCACTAAAAATACTAAAGAGACTTAGAATGTCACTTACCTGATTTAGAACGATTTGTTCCACTGTAGTTTGAAACTTTCGCTGAGAAAATGCTGTTTTTCTCCCCTAAGGACTTATTATGCAGTCTCTGTCGCCATCTTGTGGCGGAACATCAACCGTCACTTTCTTTCCTCTGCTCAGAAAAGCTGATGGTGGCTGATGCACTAAATTGCATGCTCCGAAATTATAAATATCTAAATAGACACCATCCTTATAAAAAACTGCATAGTTGCAGTCTCAATACTACATCCTCGACTAAAAAAAGCCTTAAAAGTACATTATGTTGTCCAACAGCTGCAATATTTGTCAAACTGTAGAGTGTCCTCTGCTTTTCTCTGTATGTGGGTGGAGTAATACGTAATACACAAGGGTGAAGGGTGAAAAATACAATAGTATCTAGATGCAGCCTTTTTGATGCAAGCTGAGATTGCATCACTCAGCGATGCAATGTCAGACACAATGCACTCAAAGAAGTGAGTGACGTCGCTGTGACGGGTAGGGTTCGGGGTGGGGTTAGGTGAGCCCATTAAAAAGCATTGGATGCAGCTCAGATTGCACTGCACCAGGTCTGCATCTAGACCCCTCTCGAAAAATATGGATTTTAATATATATTTTTCTCCATATGTTATTTGTTCCATGTAATTATTATTATTATTAATATTAATATTAATATTATTATTATTAGTATTTATTTATTTATTTATTATTATTATTATTATTATTATTAATTCAATAAAGTAGTATTTATTCAATTTCAGTATTAATATTATTTTTATTATGTGAAACAGTATATATATATATATATATATGTAAACAAACAAACAACATATAATTAACTTTTTTTTATTTGCATAAATCACCTGAATTTATGTTGAAAGGTTCCAGAAAGCCTTCTATTCCCTCAGTTATGTCCTGAATCAATGTATGTTTCTCTGTAGTGAATGATTTGCTCATAAACCGAGCTGTAAATGAGTTATGCGTTGTTTCTGCACAATGGTCTTCAGCCACGTTTCTGCCCATTGGTTTGCTGTCAGGCTTTAGGGAGTAGAAATGACAGAGTCCAGTTTTCTCTTGTTCATTGATACAGTTTAATCCCTCAGCGTGATGGATGAAGAGTGGAACGCTGTGTCACTGCGCTCCAGAGTAGAGGATGAGGAGGATAGATGAAGAATTGTCCATTTGTGTGCGCGTGTGTGTATTTCTTCAACTTTCTCCTGAAGCATTTGGCTGTTTTGCAAAATATCATTTCTTTTTGTTGTTGTTGGGTAGAAAACACCCACACAGATGCAAAGAGAATAATTCAGATGTTGCACAGTATCGTGTAGCAGATTATAGCACATGTAGGCTGAGTTTGGAATGTCATACTATAAACATACTACTATTTTTGCTAAATGCACTGCTATAGTATGCCTATGTTAGATTTCTGAATGGAAGACCTGAATGAGTGCAGAAAAAAGTACACCACATACAAAGGGCTTGAATTGAACTTCCATGGCTTGTGTTACAAATGTAAAGACATCATTATCTACTGGTTATTCTATACCAATGCTGCTGTTTGAACCGGTGTGAGGCAAGACTCTTGATTCCACATGCATTTTCCGTGATTCAGTCTTAAGCTCTTTATGTATAGTTCACTTTGATTTTTTACACTATAAAAGCAATTGAATTTTTAAAGGATGGTTCACCCAAAAATAGAAATGACCACATCATTTACTCTCCCTCATGTGGTTTGCAACCTCTATGAACTTCTTCTGTGTTCTTGAACACAAAGGAAGATGTTGCTAGCACTTATCAACTGCCATAGTAAGAAAAGATGGAAACTAATAGGTGCCAACAGCTAGCATTTTTCAAAATATCCTCTTTTGTGTTCAATAAAAGAAAGAAACTCAAATATTTTGAACAAGTGAAGGCTGTGTAAGTAATGGCAGAATTAAAACTTTTGGGTGAACTCTACCTCTTTAGCTAGGGAAATGGGGTTTGACATTTAAAGTTACAATTCAAATGAATTGACATATGCAGTGAGTGAAGTGTAAAGACTTGGGATGTCCAGATCCGATTACGTGTTTGGAAATCGGGCCCGATCACACGGTTTCAGACTCGATCGGAAACGGACATTACCTCCCGATCTGGACTCGAATATATATGCGTATAAGTTAGCTATGCAACAATTATAGATTTTGGTTGTATGATTATAGGATTATAGTATGATTTCACGGTTATTATGCATTCATTCATTTCAAACCCCACTAGTTTAAAAAATAAGATGAAAACTTCTTATATTTTGCAGTGTTATTTATTGCTGCTCAGTGACTAATACAGCACAAAATTATATATAAAAAACAAAAAAACAATAGTCAATTTCTCTCTTTGTGCTTAAAAATAAGTGAATGTTTTTGACATTTAAACAGAAATAATTTTACACTGTAAATAAATGACAGAACGTTCATTCATTCATTCATTTTCTTGTCTGCTTAGTCCCTTTATTAATGCGGGGTCGCCACAGCGGAATGAACCGCCAACTCATCCAGCACATTTTTACGCAGCGGATGCCCTTCCAGCCGCAACCCATCTCTGGGAAGAATCCACACACACATTCACACACACACTCATACACTACGGACAATTTAGCCTACCCAATTCACCTGTACCGCATGTCTTTGGACTGTGGGGGAAACCGGAGCACCCGGAGGAAATCCACTCAAACGCAGGGAGAACATGCAAACTCCACACAGAAATGCCAACTGAGCCGAGGATCGAACCAGCGACCTTCTTGCTGTGAAGCGCCACTGCCTCGCCCTGTCTTAAACATAATAGTTTAATTTTATAACTGTGAATAGTCATATTCTGAAGTCAACATTGTACTGTGAATTAACAAACATGATATATTGAAAGTCTCTTCAAGTCCACCATACTACAAAATTGAGCAGCATTTTAAGCAACAGTAGACCTACACTTAGTCCTAATATTATTCTTGTTGTTTTACCATATGTTTGAGAATTAACAATAATAATAGGCTAATCATGTTAACCTTTATTTTACATTTACAAAATTGTGAGAAAGAATTGTGATCTTGATTTTAAGAAAAAAAAAAAAAAACGTGATTCACATTTTTTGCCAGAATCGTGCAGCCCTAATCTGCAGCCAGTATAGCGGACGGGTTTAGATATCAAATTTGCATTATTGTTAATGATGACCTATATCTGGTCTTCCTGTGCATTATGTAAATGTGTGAAATACCATATTACTCACAATATTTAAGCTTATCGTGCAAATGTCAGGAGCTGTGTAACAACCCTTTCAAGCAATACATCATACTGCTTACATGATCATCACGCACACGTGTGTATATTACCTGCTATCAGGTTTTCAGCAGTTTTTCATTAAATGACAGGCGCACTTTATACATTAATCTTCAGTGGTTTCTCCAGGGATGCTGAACATTGGAAGAGAATGATAACTGGATCTGAGGAGAAGCCTCTATATTTTATATAAAACTGTGTATACAGTATATTGAACTGTGTATATAATACGATCTCTTCCACCTGTTATGGAAAGCCAAATGTATAATCTCTATTATATTATTAGATTTGCCGATCTCATAAA